TCCCGTCATCTTGAACTAAAGCCATAACATCCAAAAATCGTCGCCGCATGTCACATTGGCCTCCTATAAAACTTGCAGGCAACAAAACTCGTTGTCCAACTCTACTTGGTTGAACTTGACCGGCATTAACGCAATCCACAATGCCTTCATATAAATCCGCTCTTATCTTGGTTTGGTTAAGTTCACAGAAACGCAAACAAGAGTTCTCGATCTTGATGTAGGTATCTACCACGAATTGTTGTAGTAATCTTCCCCCCAATAGAATCACATATGTGCATACAACACGAACTTTTCTTTCATATCGATGGGTGTAACTTTGGATGATAATGTGATTCTATTATCAATCGATGTGAAAGAAAAGTTCGTGTTGTATGCACGTATGTGATTCTATTGGGGGGAAGATTACTACAACAATTCGTGGTAGATTCCTACATCAAGATCGAGACCTCACGTTTGCGTTTCTGTGAACTTAACCAAACCAAGATAAGAGCGGATTTATATCAAGGCATTGTGGATTGCTATGATGCCGGTGAAGTTCAACCAAGTAAAGTTGGACAATGAGTTGTGTTGCCTGCAAGTTTTATAGGAGGCCCACGTGACATGCGGCGGCGACTTTTGGATGCTATGGCTTTAGTTCAAGATGACGGGAAACCCAGTATATTCCTTACAATGACGTGTTATCAAAATGGCCAGAAATTCTTAAAGAGCTATTGCCCGGTCAGATTGCACAAGATCGACCGGACCTTGTTGCAAGAATTTTTCGTGCAAAATTAGAGGATCTCAAGGACCAACTCTTCCAGAAGAAGATCCTTGGCACTGTCATGGCATATGTTTATGTCATCGAATTTCAGAAGCGTGGATTGCCGCATGCACATTTCCTCATGATAATGAGACCTAATGACCAATCCAGATCATTACGACAAGATTGTATGTGCTGAAATTCCTGACCCAGCAAAGTATCCTGAAATGCACCAGTTAGTTGTCCAACACATGATGCATGGTCCTTGCGGTCATTTACGACCGTCCAGTCCTTGCATGCAAGGTGAGCCGAAAATCTGTCGTTTTAGATATCC